TTAAGAATTCAGGACCCATTGAGCAGTGATGATATTTGCCTTTAATCCCAGCATTTTGGAGGCAGAGGCAGGTGGATCTCTATGAGTTTGAGGCCAGCCTGATCTACAGAGTGAGTTCCAGGACAGCCAGGGCTACACAGAGAAATCCTATCTCAAAAAAACCAAAGGGGAGAATAGAATCCAGGATGAGCACCTCTTCTTCTTCATTCTTCCTATGCCTGGGATACCTCTAGTCGTAGCTTTATATTTCTTGAACAGTTCTGAGCCTTCTGAGCATGGAAACATAGGACACCAATAACTGTTCTTGCTAAAAAGGTGAGATGTGTTGTTCATCAAGGAGAAACATCTCTCCCAAAATCCCCAAAGAGAATTTCCTTTCACCTTTCCTTTGCTAAGTTATAGTCAAATGTCCATTCCTCTGCTGTCATCAAAAAGTGGTTAGAACTACCTGTTTAGCCCATGCTAATCATGATCCATACCAATAGACTGAAAAATGTTCCTTCTCCAAAGTACATAAGAGGGCCTGAACAATTAAGAAAAAAGAAGAAAATCGGGAAACTATTATGTAGGTAGAGTTTTCCTGCCTGGCCCACAGTCAGGGCAAATCTCTCTCACCTGCCAGTCCCACAGCCGTCAGACCCGATCAAGTAAACACAGAGACTTGTATTGGTTTCAAACTGTATGGCCATGGCAGGCTTCTTGCTAACTGTTCTTTCAGCTTAAATTAATCCATTTTTATAAATCTATACCTTGCCACATGGCTCGTGGCTTACCGGCATCTTCACATGCTGTTTCTCATCGTGGCGACTGGCAGTGTCTCTCTGACTCAGCCTTCCACTTCCCAGCTTTATTCTCCTCCTTGTCCCGCCTACACTTCCTGCCTAGCCAATGGCCAATCAGTGTTTTAATTATTGACTAATCAGCAACACATTTGACATACAGAACATCCCACAGCACTATTAATCTTCAGAAAACTCTCCTGCAACCAACCTAAGATCTAAGAAATAAAAACTATGTAGCTGAAAATAGGGTCATTACCATAATTATTACCTATCCTACATTTTACTATCACTTCCTCATATTCTAATTGAAAGATCGATAATAGGAGAAAATGGATGGATGTATTCTCAACCTCAAAGGTCTAATTCCCAAAGTTCTCAATGGTATTAGTTTATTTTCTCATCCCTGTGATCCAACAAGAAGCAACTTAAGGTAGGAAAGACTTGTTTGAGATTAGGGGTTCATGGGGGAGAAAGATCCTGGTGGACCAGAAAGCAGAGTACTCGGGCCAGAATCTGGAGTAGGCTAAAACTTGTATGGCTTGTTGCTAAAGCCCCATGTTTACTAGTTTAGCTCCTTATCTAAAATATTCCACAAGTTCCCACAGAAAGCCACTAGCTGGAGAAAACAAACAAAAGCCTTTTGGGGGACAGTCTACGTTCATACCATAGTAACCACCATCATCTTTCTACTCTACATAGCCAAGTACTAGAAACTCTTGCTACTTGTTACTAGCAACAGATCAATGCGCTCTCAAAGAGAGCATTGCCTACGGGCTTTATGGCTCTTAAGATTATTCAGACAAATAAACATTTGACACACTTTCATGGGAAAGGTGTGTGAGTGTGTGTGAGTGTGTGTGTGTGTGTGTGTGTGTGTCCACTCGTGAGCATGTGCAAGTGTGTGCAGGAGGGAAAAAGCAAGCGGGAGAGCTATTGAAATAGGAAATTACTAAAACTAAAAGAAAATTGATAAGGACGTCATTAATGGAGTTAGCCTTTAAGGTGGAAGAGAGTTGCAAATATGTATGACTGTCATTAAAAGATATTCAGTGTAACATCATCGACTTAGCTTGAATTAAATATTGGCAAAGGAGGACTTGGTCTAGGGTATAAAAGTATAAAAATCAGAATGGAGTCAGGAAAGAGTATATTACTCTTCCAACACTAGCTCTAGTATCATATGCTGCTGATCAGAGGCAGTGTGCTCATCACAGATAGCTGGAAGAAGCATTTTATTAACAAAATATATACCAAAGCAAAATTGAGATCTACATTTACTGAATAGTTGCATGCAATTGATGTTGAAGTCTACACAATCCAGTAAAATGATACGTGTTCATTCTTTAACCATACTGTACTTCTGCTTTTATCTTAGAGTCTTAATTCCTGAGCCATTAATTGCATCCATATTTATCTGCAAAGGATCCTCTGTCAATCTAAAGCCAAATCTAAGTTAATTTAGGACATGTATCTAGTATACCTTTCCAGCTGTACAATGATTGACAATACTTCTCCTGAATTTTATCATACATCACTGACTGCTGATATTTCTTTGTGAACTCCGTAGTATTTCTTTTTAAAATATATATCATTCTTAAAATTTCTTTTAGATAATTACATCATTTCCCCCTCCCTCCCTTCCTTCCTTCCTTCCAAATATTCCCATGTAATTCATTTTTCTCTCTTTCAAATTTATAGCCTCTTTTCTTTAATTGTTGTTTGATGTGTGTGTTTACATATTATACATGTACAGATACACACACAGAGAGACACACTCACACCTAATTCATTAATACATGAATACATCCTGATCAATCCATGTAATGTTACTTGTATGTATACATTTTCAGGGCTGATCATTTGGTATTGGATAACCACTTGGTAAGCATTTAACACTTCTTTTTTAAAGGATGTCTGATTCATATTGGTAGAATTACTATTTAAATTTTCAAAATATGTGGACCTTCTTTTGCAACATAGGAATACAGCACTGGAATACAAAGGAGAAATCAAAGTATTTTAATTAAATAAAATATATGTAATTTCAATATAAAATGTTTTGGAACAACTGACCCAGAAAACATGAAAAATGCCCTTGTATGTAGAATCACTGAATTGTGATCACTGTGGGTGCAGAAATCCTGAAGCCTTTTCCATGAAAAGTTATAATTTCCCCCATACGTTCATTATCAGTTTTTAATCTTTAAAAATGCATTGCGTTTATTTGCATGTGTGTGTCATGAGTGTAGGAAAGTTGTTTCTAAGTTTGTGTCACATTTTTTTTATTTGTAGCATGTACATTTTCCCCCCAATGGCATGTGTCCTAAGTTTATGATATCATCTAAATTGGGAATGTGCCCCAAATGAGCGTAAGGCTTACTCGACAGTCTTCGGCTCTTTGAACAACTTGCAGGGATTGGTCTCACCTTCTATTTTGTGGATTCTGGGATCAAACTTAGGTGTGGTGACTGCCCCTATTTTTTAATCTTTAAGTTTTAATGTGTGTGTGTGTGTGTGTGTGTGTGTGTGTGTGTGTGTGTGTGTGTGTGTTTTGCTGGATATTGAACCCGAGGCCTCATACATAACACACATGCTTTTACCACAGGGCTATATTCTTGGTCCTCTATGTCTAATAGCTCCTTCTAACTTCCTAAATAAAATTTTAATTTAAATACAGAATATGGAAATGCTACAGTACAGTTTCATGCACCTTTACCTAATTCCCTGTGATGGTAACAGCTTTCAGAACTATAATACAATAACAGTAATGGGATATTGATACAATCAAAACAGAGAATGCAGCTGCCATAAGGATTGCTATGTTGCCTCTTACATCCTTTACCACTTCCCTCTTACCACAGGGACCCCCTAATGTCTGCCACTCATCAATTAGTCTACCAGTTTTGTAATTTTTGACAATATCAAGAATGGTATAACAATGAAACAATGCAACATGTAACCTTTGGGTATTTTTTAAAATGCATGTCTAATTTTAGGTGATACATCTAGGTTATTACACACATCAATAATCCATTCCTTGTATTTCTGGAAGTATGGCAATATGTTCATGGACCATTTAACTATTTGTGAATTAATTCAACCTTCCACAATGCGTGTGTGTGTGTGTGTGTGTGGTGTGTGTGTGTGTGTGAGAGAGAGAGAGAGAGAGAGAGAGAGAGAGAGAGAGAGAGAGAGAGAGAGAGAGAGGCTGTGATGAAATTACATCTTCCCCCAAATCCCCATGTCGAAGCTCTAAGCTTCAGTGTGATTGTACTTGCAAAAGTAATCACAGTATATTTAAAAGGAAAAGGACAGGGATCTGTAATAACAGGATTAATGTTCATACAAGAAAAAACACAGAGAATGCCTTCTTTACACTATGTGAAGCTGTTTGCAAGTCAAGAAGCCCTCACAAGATTCTGACCACAGTGGTACCCTCCTCTTGGACTTCCACTCTTCAGAAGTATAAGAATATCTCACCAATTAAGCAGTCTATGCTAATAGATACACAGGAAAAAAAAATTAAATTGCATTATGACATTTGAGTTCAACAGCTTCTTAGCTGCTCAGAGTTTTAGCCAGAGTCCTAACAATATAAGCAATGTGTCTACAAGTCTTTAAATTTAACTCTTTTCTCTTCCCAATTCCTATTACCTCCCCATTGTTGTGGGATAGCCACCTAAGATGATTACTCAGACATGGATTTAGGCCAATAAAAAGTCTTTATTTACCAGGTGGTGACTCCACAGGGTGTTCAGGATCCCAGTGTAGCACTGAGCCTTTCTCAGGGTGAGCTTTTAAGCACAAAAACCATGTTCTGGGTTCAGTTAACAAGAAAGGTTTTAGCCAGAAGTGGAAATACAGAAGACAAGAAAAGCAAGGTTTATAGACATTTATAGACTTTCTCAGAACTGTGGACTTTGGTGGAGTGGGTCTTTGTTTTCATTTTGGCAGGTTGTACTGTCTGTGTGCTGAGTTTTATGACCTAAATGGTACTTCCATCATGGAGTCAGTTGGGCTATGTTCTGGGGCCCTGATACATCATCATTTTGTTTTTCATTTTTCACTTCACGTGGCCTTCATACTTGTTGGATCTGCAGGCTATGCTACTATTTCAGAATCTCTGCACCTGTTTCTCCTCCTCCTCCTCCTCCTCCTCCTCCTCCTCCTCCTCTTCTAATGTTTTTGTTTTCTGATTTTTTTTTTGTTTCTCCTTCTGGGGCCTCCCTCTCTAATATTTACAAGAGTCCCCCATTTCTTACTCAGGCCATTGCTCAATTGGTTTCTTTACAAAGAGTGGTACTCTGGCCATGCAACATCCTCCGATAAATTCAAGTAAAAGCACATTTCCTCGTTGCAAAATTAATTATAGTACCTTTTATTATCAGAGAAGAATATATGAAACAATTTTCCTGAAGTTCACAGGTAAGTGATGCTGGCATAACCTTTAAAATTAGCATGCATAAATAAAGAGATGCTGTATTTCCTAAAATCACTTTCTAATTCTAACAGGGTGGGGCGGGGGGAAGGCCGTATGAGACAAGAACGAAACTAAGAACTGGACGGATTTAAAGGTTCTCTTTGAGGGGGAGGGTATTTCTAAATGTCTGAGGGTGAGAAGATTGCGAGTCCCTAAAACAACCTACAGGCAGCGACTCCTTTCAACTGTTTCATTTTTCAGAGCATCAGCCGTGTGAAAACATCAGACACAAGCCAGTCCTGTCGCGCACAAATACTCAAAAAAAAAAAGAGTAGCATAAACTTCAGGAGCAAGCTGATTGGCTGCAAACTAAACGACGCAGCGCACCACCAACCCACCGAGCACCCGTCTGCACGAAGCGATTGGTCGCTACGGCAAGCGAGCAGGAACAGTTCCTGAGCGTCGACCTCGGGTTCCGGGTTCGCAGAACCAAGATGGCGGCGGCCAGGTACTGGAAGCTGGTGCCCCGCCGGGGCCTGTCCCTCCAGGCCGCTGCCGAGGCCTCCGCCCCGGCCACCCAGGGGAGCGATGCAGAGACCGTGGCGACGCCGGCCGCGCGGTACCCGCCGATCGTGGCTTCCATGACCGCCGACAGCAAGGCGGCGCGGCTGCGGCGGGTGCAGCGCTGGCAGGCGGCGGTGCACGCCGCCCCGTCCGTGGACGAGAAGATACGGATCCTCACCAAGATGCAGTTCAAGAAGTACGTGGTGTATCCGCAGACCTTCGCCCTGAACGCCGACCGCTGGTACCAGGGCTTCACCAAGGCGGTGTTCCTTTCGGGCCTGCCGCCCGCGCCCGTGCGGGCCCCGCCCTCGCTCGACCTCGCGGCCCTGCGCGCCGCCGTCTGCGACTGCATCCTGCAGGAGCATGTCTACCTGCGGCGTGGCCGGCGCCGGCGCCTCTTCGATCAGCGCCAGGCCCTCGCCTCGCCGGTCCTGGACCACCTGGTGGGGACTCTGGTGAACCTGCTCGCCCCACTCAACCCTGTCCTGACCACTGCGGCCCTCGGTGAGCTTGGGACTCCCACCCAGCCTGGAGGAGGTGGGGACGGTGTGGGGCAGGCCTGCGGAGGATTGCTATGCCTGTCCTTGTGGCTTCCAGGCTTCCCAGCTGGTTTAGTAGCGCTCAGTGCGTTGGGACTTACAGGCCGAGTTCCTCGTGGCCTGCCCTGCCCACGACTACTTGTTAAAAATTTAGACTTAGCTGAAGTTCATCACTGTTCCATGCCTTCACCTGGTTTTTCTCTCGGTCCAGCCAAAAGTTCTTGAGTGGAAGCAGCTTGGGGTTGTCTTTTGACTCCTTCCTCCCCAGGAAAGCTGGTGACCATAGGTCAAACATCCACATTCTCTTACTTTGCCTTAACTAAAAGATGAGAATCAAGGTAATACTGTTTAAAACATCAACTTCTGGTACTTTGCCTTAATTTCAGATGAGAGAGTCATGGTAATACTGTTTGGTCATAGAATTGTGAAAGTTAAATAATAGATATTAGCTAAAATTCCTAACCTTTTCTTAACAATTACTCTGTCTTTCCTTTTTCCAAATTTTCTAAATGGCAACTAATTAATCCTCACAGTAACACAGTAGATGTCATGAATTCATTGTATAAATGAAGAGTTAAAGAGACACAGGTTAAGTGTTGCTAGAGTCTTACCACCCAATACCTGGTAGGTTTAGGGGTCAAGATTTAGGCCCAGGCAACAGAAACTTGTGTTTGTTCAGTGTGGATATGAAAAGTCATGTATAAATCATGTTTTTGTTTGTTTGTGTCTGATGGGATGGCTGTGGTGGGGATTGAACGCAGGGACAAGAATACACTCTATCATGAGCTACACCCCAGCTGAGAATGTGTTTGTAATTCATTTATGTCTATGGTCCAGAGGGTGTCTTATTATTTACTGAATTAATTCTACCATGGCTGTAGATGTGTGCTGATCTGAACCTTGTAGTGTCTCTATTACTTCCCTTCCTCATTTATGAAGGAAGTGGTGTTAGGAAAACACCATAACTTTTGACTACCTCGCCATTGGTGGCTTAGAAAGCTTAACTTTGTTCAGATCAAAGTTCTTGTATAAAATGGTAGTGATTGGATTTATAAGTACTCTTTAGAGTAATTGTAAAAGTGAAGTTAGTGCTTCATAGAACAGTTCTCACTATATTCTGGTGAGTGGTGTCGTCAGTCATTTGAGCATCTTTATTAACTGAGTAACCCTGTTAATTACAGTGTCTATCATAATGAAGTTTTGAGTGCTGTAACCCAGATCCTAACATCACTGTAATTTTTATATGTATATATTTTAGACATGCCAGTCTTAACATGTATGACTAAGTTAATGAATAACCAGTTTTCTCTTTTAATAGATTATAAGCGCCCTGTTGACTTTTACTGGCATCGTGGTGAAGAAAGGATTCCTGCTGGTCATCGAAAAGGTCATATTGATGCTTTAAGATACCAAATAAATGATAAACCACACAACCAGATAAGAATATCTAAGCAACTGCCTGAGGTAAGGTTTTGTACCTGTTGGCGTGAGGTGTAAGCATTGCTATAGTCCCATCAGGTAATCAGGTGACTGTGATGAGGTATTTTGGATAGATCTCTTGCCTTCCATGTTTGTTTTATGATGGCAACTCATCTGGAAATCTTTTTCAACTTTCTGATTGTGTATGGTGTGTTCTATGAAGGTCAGATAATTTTGAATATGTAAGGCATCAGTGTGGTAAAATCAACTTATAATTGTATATGACAACAGGATTTAAAAATTTTTTCTATGTGCGACTACTTTGGGCCCATCAGTAAATGTTAGTGTAGGTGAGCACTTCTCTTTAGACAATGTGGTTGAAACACTCTAGAACTCAGAGAATTTCAGAGTTTTGAATTGGGAATGCCCATCCTGAAGACTCTATGGATGTTCTAGACTGTGAATACACTGAAGTCTGAAGCACTTCTGGTCCCTAGCATTTTGATTCAGAGATTCTCAACTTGTATAATCAGATCATTTTGTAAGAAGTAATTCATTGGAAAAATGTTAAATCTAGGGTAATTGTAAATGAAGTAGATACAAATGTTTCTGAATTCACTTTGTGTTTTCTTATTCTTTAAGTTTGTTCCATTGGATTATTCCATTCCCGTAGAAATCCCTGTTATGAAATGTAAACCAGACAAGCTTCCATTATTCAAACGGCAGTATGAAAACTCCATATTTACTGGTAAGTTTCTCCATACGTATCGATCCGTAAATGTATTCAAAATGTGAAAAGTAAAAGCATGCTTTAACTTTAGTTTGAATTTAATTTAATTTGAATTATTATATTTTATTGTTTTTGATGGAGACAGCGTTTGTGTAGCTTGGTTGGCTTTGAAGTCACTGTGTGGCCCTGGGTGGTCTTGAACTTGTGGCAGGAGCCCTCTAGCCTCTGCCTCCATAGTGTAGAAGTGTACACTACCATACCCAGCACAGATTTAATTCTTGAAAACTAAGAAGTTTGATGGCTATGAGCAATACTGTTCATAGTCTCAAGGTATTGTAACGTGAATGACAATTGGAGAAAACTTTGGGTCTTCATTTGAACGTTTTGTTGCGTCTACTGAATTAGCCATGTTTAACCTTTAAAAACTGTTATGCTTGCTAGGCCTTTTTTTTATTATATGGAAAAAAGTAGTTTGTGTTTTGTATGTTTAGAACTGGACTTGGGATCATGAATAGCATTTTATTGAAGCACCCTGTTTGTTTTACACATGGTAGTTAATACGTTGGGAGTTCAAGCACTAGCAGGCCTCATGTCTGCCCTAATGCACCTCGATTGTCTTTGTCCTTTCCATATGCTTATTAGTTCCTAGAGGCCCCAGTGAAGACTTTACGAAAGCATTATGTTAGTCCTCTGGGCCGTTTTATTAGTTGTTTCTCAGCCACTTGGTCTTAGTGCCTGGGGAATTCTTTTGAAACTACTTTAACAATGAAATGGAGCATGTCAGTGTTTTATGAAAGCTGGACCATCAGTCCTTTCTGCCTTAGCTCTCTTTTTCCTTTTCCTTTTCGTTCCTCCTCTTTTATCCTCTGGTTTTGCTTCTCTTTTTCTTTTCTTGCTCTTTTTCTTTACTTTCTTTGTCCCTGGCTACCTTGACACTCATTGTGGAGTGACAGGTGGCCTTGAAACTCTGTAGCTCATCCTGCCCCCAGATACCTGATGCTAAGTTTAGAGGTAGGGCATGTCCCACCATGCCAATATTATTATGTATGTTCAGAATCGAGGCAGAGCTTCCTGTGTGCTAGGCAAGCACTCTGCCCAATGAGCTTCTTATTTTTTTTTATTTAGAAATGTAGTATAAAAAGTCTTTTTTTTAATAAAATGAACGAAGATATTATTATTGCATTAATTGTAAGGAAGTTCTTTTGTTGTGTTATTTTTTTATTGTGAATGTGTGTGCATACTCTGAGTGTGGGGGTATTGGTACCACAGGGCAAATATGGAGGTCAGAGAGTGACTTGTGGAGTACATTCTAATGCAGTGTGGCTTCCAGGAATTCAACTCAAGTCACTAGGGTTCCACAGCAAGCCCTGTGCTCCCCAGACCTTCCTAAAGTGTACACGCTAAGGGCTACTGCAATAGCTCTTAATAATGACTGAAAGGCTTGACAAAATTCAATACTGAAGAATTCTAAATGCCTTCTCTGTGTATCCTTCCAGCTTATTTTGAGCCCTGGTGAGCTTTGTGATAATGAGCAGGTTGGGAAAATGTTTTCAGGTAACTTTACCTTAGTCAGTTAAAAAAAAAAGAAAGAAAGAAAATACGTAAGGCATTTCCATTTATGTGTTTTGAGTACCGGGCATACGATATTTGAAGAAGATGTGCTTGAAATAAATGCTAACCCATGCCTTCGGGCATCTGCTTGCTGTCATTTCATCTGAAATGTTTTTCTTTCCATTAGGCTCAAAAACAGCAGATCCCTGCTGCTATGGTCACACCCAGTTTCATTTGTTACCTGACCGTTTACATAGAGATAAGCTGTTAAAACTAAACCAAGCTGAGCAGGTGGAAGTTGTTTTTAGAGCTAATGCCCTTGCAAGTCTTTTCGCTTGGACCGGAGCTCAAGCTATGTACCAAGGTAAGCCCAGTGTTAGGGCAGTTTTCCTTCTTGAAAGTATAACTTGTTGAGAATAGAATTACTCAGATTGCTTTCTTTAGGTAAGACACAACCTAGAGCTGAACATTTTGAAAAGTTTACATTGATACAAAATGCAGTTATTTAAAAATCCATAATGAAATACATTTTACATTTGAAATTTGCAAGTACACATGAGGAATATTCTTGATCTTTTACTGTGATTACTTCTTGTGCAGACAAAAACATTTTCTAGTGTTTTTTTCAAACATTTCAAAAACTACTGGTGAGTAAGTCAAATATTTGTTTGTAGGTTTTCTCACTTTGTAAAGTTCTCGAGGTAGTAAAGAAAGTGATACGGGAGTCAAGATTCCAATTAGGAAGCTCTCCCTCAGTAGATGGGCCACGGCACACATGTGGAGGCGACAGGGCAACTTTCTGTGGATTGAGTATTCCCAGGAATCGAACTTGGCTCTCCAGCGTGTTGCCCACCAAATTGTCTCACCAGGCCTTGAATGCTTTTTGTGTCAGCATTGTTAGATTTGAATACAGTGTTGAGTAACAGACAGAGCTGACTCTCTTGCAGCTTTTAATGCAGTGGAGAATGACAGATAATCATGTACTCCTTTCAGAGTGGTGATGTTATGAGAAAAGTATACCAGCATAAGAAGTATAATGATTTTTGGGTGGTGGTTATAAGTGAGGTATGAAGTAAAATTGATTTGAATACAGTCATTATGGGAAGATGTCCAGAAATGACTTTCAGACAGGCCTGGATGAGCTATTCGTGCAGTGTCGAAGAAAGACACATTGAGATCAGAAGAATAACCAAAAAAGTCCCTGCAGTGAGAACAGGCTTGAAGTACTTAAGGAACGGCAGAGAGGCCGGACCTGTAGAGGCCGGTAAAGAAAGGGCAAGGAGAATGCTGTGCAGTAGCATGGCAGAAGGGAGAAACTGTATCATGTAGGACTTTATCTTTCGGGGCTAGAGTTTGGACCAAGGACTGGCATTACCAAGCAGATCCTGTTCTTTCTGAGTCCAGTGTGAGGTGTTTGGGTTCTGCTGCAAAGCCTGAAGTTACAAAATATGAACTGGATTAATTCTGCACAATAACCTAGGAGGAATTTTAATATAGATTGTTCTTACTGGAGTCTCCTTTTTCATTTGTAGGTATGCATTTCAAGTTTATGCTTTCATTATTGGCTTATATTTCTTTAATAGGAAGGGAAGATGGTAGGAGGTGGGGTTGGGATAGTCAGGAAGGGTGAGTGATACCTTCCAGTGGCACTGTTTGCTCATGAACTATAAACTGTTACCTACTGCATTTGAGCAATAACGTTTGTTAGATGTCTCCATGAAGGACTAAATATGAATTATACACGTGGAGATGGTAAGTTGATCCCTGGCTATGGCAGTATATATAAAAGTATTAAACCTGTTAGTCTAGAACAAGAACCAGACAGAAAACTTGAGTAGATAAGGCGTTAAGACATCCTGGAAACCTTAGGACCTGAGACACCGGAGGCAGTGACAGCAATTCTTTAAAGCTCTTTCAAAACATTCAAAACACACTGGATTCTCCAAGGGCATGGTGTTAAAACCATAGAAACCTAGACTTTTCCTGAAGATTTGGAGAGCGTGTGTATGTATTTATATTTGATGAAATAAATGGTCATAACGGATACTGGGTTTTACGTGGTGCTGGTGTGGACATTTTCCGAGCATACTCAAAGCCATCAAGTTGATAGGAGATGCAGCAGGATTCATGTAGGTAAAAGTTCTTCAATTACTAAGTGAGTGTTGGAAGCTATTAAAGGTTAAAGTTGTAGAAAAAGATGGATCATAAGTTGGGGGACTCTAGAAGGGAGGAAACATTAATATAGAAAGAACGTAGTGTTGGTGGCAGGAGCAGGGGAACCGAAATCTCAGGGCCTTGGTAGGTCAGGGTTTTCAGAGGGTTTTGCTTTGTTTTGAGAAAATAGATCAACATGTGTAAAGCCCCACATTGCTTTCTTCTACAGGATTCTGGAGCGAAGCAGATGTTACTCGACCTTTTGTCTCCCAGGGCGTGATCACAGACGGAAAATATTTTTCTTTTTTCTGCTACCAGTTAAACACTTTGGCACTGACTGTACAAGCTGATCAAAATAACCCTCGTAAGAATATATGTTGGGGGACACAGAGTAAGCCTCTTTATGAGACAGTGGAAGATAACGATGTGAAAGGCTTTGATGATGATGTTCTCCTGCAGATAGTTGACTTTCTTCTAAATAAACCGCAAGAAGACAGGACGCAGCTGTTGGGAAGCCAGGAGAAAGCACTTGATCTGGGACCTTGAGGATATTTCAATTTCACCAGAGGAAAAATAAAATCATTTAAGAATTCTGTAACTGTCGGTTATTAAACACATGGATTTTTTTTGAAAAACAACATTTCTTATGTTAACTTATCATTAAACCTTGAATTTTCAGATTCTTTACTGAAAGGTTTAGTTTTAGATGTAACGATGGTGATTTAAAAGTGATTCAGCTGATATGGCTTAGGAGGCACTGAGTGGAAGAAGAACCCTCTAGCAAGTTGTATTCTGACCTCCACACATGTCCTACCCTTCCTCCCTCCATTCCCCCTTCCCCCCTCCCATGTGTCTGTTTCTTTCTCTAAATCTTTAAAAGGAAAAATAGATTTACATATCACTAATAACAGTATTGGGCTATCTTTAATACCTTGTATTGTAGTATTTAAAAGGTAATTCAGTGGGGAGCCGGAGAGGGGGTTCTGACTGCTCTTCCAGACAACCTGGGTTTGATTCCCAGCACTTACACTTAAATGGGGCTTACAACCTTTCATGTCCTAATCCTAAAGCCCTCTTCTGACCTCTGAGGCACCAGGCATACAAGTGCATAAACACACACATGCAAAATACTCATACAAATAAGATTAAAACCATTAAATATCTTTTATTGGTTTTCTTTTTAATTGTTAATAATGAGAGTTTTATGGCATTCTTCAAAATAGGGCTGCTGTTTTACACACTCTTTTAAACTAAGGCTTTAATATTTTTTTTATCTTTATTTAAAAAGGAATGAAAATTAGAAAATATGACTAGGATACTTTAATGGTAGAGTCTAATTAGTCAATCCCAGTTAGTGGGATGTGTAAGCGGTACCCTGCTGGGACAAAGCAAGGCTGCCAGCATTGACCCTGGGGTGCTTTTGTCACTGATTCACTTCAGGAATCTAAGATCAGATGTAGGCATTCAGTACATGGTGAATGGACGGGAGCGAAAAGTTTCTTTAGCTCGAGGTCTGACATCACTTGTTTATATATTTGTAAGATTTATTTGCGTGTCTATTTTTTTCTGAATGTTTGTCTATGCACCATGTGCATATAGTGCCTGCAGAAGCCAGAAGAGGGCATCAGATCTCTGGAGCTCCTGATTTAGCCCCAATTTGGGTGCTGGAACTCAAGCTTGGGTCCTCTAGAAGAACAGCTAGGGCTCGGAAACACTGAGCCCTCTCTCCAGCCCTGCCTTTTATATCAGCAAGCTTTAGGTCTTTATGGAGCTCTTCACACACTAGTGCTTGACGTTTTGGGTAATTGTGAGGAGATTTTTTTTTTTTCCAGTTCAAAATGGCTAGTGTTGGTTGTTGTGCATTTCTTTTGTAAAGCTAACTCGCTAATTGAGTAGTTTTGCAGTAGAATCTTAGGAGGCATAGTACCGCATGTCCAGTCCAACTTGGTTTTTTCTGACCTTGCGCTATCAGCATAGGTAGAAATAAGATTCCATGTGGATCAACCCTAGGCAGTATTTTGCTCAGTTTGTCACACAGTTTGGGTGGCTTTGATGATTACTTCAAAAGGAAGCTTTTATGGCCTTGATAGTAACATATTCTTTTATGTTTTTTTTTATAATTTAATTTAATTTTACATATCAGCCACGGATTCCCTTGTTCTCCCCCCTCCCGCCCCCACTCCCCACCCCCCACCCCCCATTCCCATCTCCTCCAGGGCAGACTCCCCTGAGGATTGAGTTCAACCTGGTAGACTCAGTCCATGCAGGTCCAGTCCCCTCCTCCCAGGCTGAGCCAAGTGTCCCTGTATAAGCCCCAGGTTTCAAACAGCCAACTCATGCACTGAGTACAGGACCCGGTCCCACTGCCTGGGTGCCTCCCAAACACACTTTCTTAACTCTTATCTTATTTCGCTGACACATTCCCCCTGGCTAGTCCTCCTCTACTTTCTTCAAATATTGGCATACCTCTGGGATTTATTCTAGTCTCCACATTTCTTTATCTAGTCCCCCTAGATGGCATCAAATTGTGGCGACTTAGATATAAACACATTCAAAATTAGAGTTTAATTTTATCTTCATACATCATTATAATTGAGCTGGTCTGAGTGAGTAAGCTTGTGGATAATTTTCTCCATAATTTTCTGATTTTCTCAGGAAAAACATCTTGTAATTAGGAAAATAACTTCATTTTAAAAAGAAGCAACCTTGCCTGGTCTAATGTCACATGCTGCAATCCCACCACTTAGGAGGTGGAGGCAAGAGTATTAGCCGTTCAAGGTCATCCTCAGCAACATGAACCCCTGACTGAAACAATTTTGTTGGAAGAACTCCAATAAGGAGCTGTTAACATGCCAAATTCACCTCTGAACAACTTCATTGTGTTTGGAAATGCATTTTAAAATTTCCTGCACACCCCTAAGGCACGCATATTGAGGTCAGGACAATTTGAAGTCGGCTTTCTCCTTCCACCATGTGGATTCCAAGGCTAGAACTCAGTTCGGCAGGCTTGGCAGCAAGTGCCTTTCCCTGCTGAGCTATCAGGTCAGCCCCAGTGATTTATTACTGTTTTTTATTACTTTCATTTTTAAGATGATATTATAATTACATCTTTTCCCCTTCCCTTTCCTCCCCATTTAAAAAATTTGTATTTATGTGCACGTGGAATTGTATGTGTTTGCCATGTGTATGAGAGTGCCCACAACACACAAGAGGGTGTTGGATCCCAGGAACTGGAGTTACAGTAAGTCACCTGACTTGGAGGCTTGGAATCAAACTCAGGTTCCCTGGAAGAGCAAGTGCTCTTAACTGCTGGGCTGTCTCTCCAGCCCCCGTTGTGTTGTTTGTTTTTATAATTACCTAAAGGATCTGCCTTTGGGTTAAAAATGCCAGTAATAACTTTCTAGAAATGAATCAAATTGATGGGAAATCTAATTTGGTAAATAAAGAGATCCCGTGTGTGTATACTAACCTTTTGCATATTAGGAAAATGTAAATGAAATTTTGTCTCAGTCCTTGGTGATAAGATCATTTAAGTAGCAAAACAAAACAAAAGAAAAAACATTAAAGACAGAAATTATTCTTTACTTTGGAGAAAATCAGTGCTTATAAAGTGTGTCCGTATGCACCTCAATAAGCAGCCTGCTTCAACTGAGCTAGCTGTACTTTTTAGTTACTTGAATTCCAGGTTTGAATTACTTTAGGTCAGTTTCCATTGGGTTTAGCCTCTGGGAAATATGTCTTTGGATCTTTAGTCATATAAAACTTGCCTTTTATTTGCAAACCAACAATATGAATTTTAGGATCTTCTGAAATCTTTCAAGGAGTTTATTAATCATGCAAATAGAATGTGGGCAAGATTTATAGCTTGAATGTACGTCAAACAAGGATAATTTAGGTCAGCAACTGATCTTTGGTCATGCCATTTCATTGTTATTTAATAGTGTTTTAATTAATTGAAGAGTAAAGAATTATAGAGGAATTATAAAGCACCCAAATTCACAGATTTTCTTGAAAGAGTGAAAGAACCGACAATTTCCCATTTATGTTCTTACATGTCAACAGCACTGGAGAGGACCTGGGCATTAGCTGCTCTGGGTCCTTGTGGTGGGCTGTACGTCACACTGGTTTGTCACAGTGTCTACCACTCTTCCTTCCTTTTTAACTGCTAACATCATTGGACCTACCTTATTAAGTTCTGTGAAATGTTTTGCTCCTAAGACATTGGATTTATGACTGCCGTGGCCTAATTTACTGTTTGGAGCTTGCATAATTGCTAGCAAGACTCAACCTTTACTGTTGATTGTGGGGCTTCAGAATCCATTTTCTAACAATATACATTACAATGATCATTAAGTTTCACAGAAATTCCAACGAGAGATGTGTTGTAAGTTTGTGTTTTTGCTCACTGGTTGCTAAATTGATGGCTTCAGTAGCTCGCTCGCTGTTGGTTGGAGATAACCTTCAGCTTCTCCCTCTATGGGGCTCTTTTAAAGACTAAGACTAAGATGTCTACATCATGTCATCTTGCAAGAGAATCTGTACAGAGTCTGCTAACAAGACTAGTGGTCAAAAAACAAGTCACTGTGTCCAATTTCAAACCAAGGATTTACACAATGGTATGGCCAAGAGAGAGAGAAAGCCACTGATTTGGGGAGTTTTCTCCCCCAAAATGTTATAAACATAATTAAAGAGAATATGGCTGGGGAATAAGGATGAAACTTCTAGAATTAATGTTCTTTTTCATAGATGTTAATTAACACTCTGCTGTTACTTATGCCTAGAAGCAATGGAAATGTGCGGACAGAGGCTAAATGAGGATTCATTAAGTGGGTGTAGGAGCCTATCAATTCAGAGAGTGTTTCTAGTGGAAAGAAATGGAGGATTTAACTGTATTCAGGATTTTCACTCATTCTGGCTACCCAGCATGCCCAATCTGTGCTGCTCTGTATGTTTTGCCACTCAGTATTTTCAATGTTGATTAATAATATGCCTGTGAATATTCAGTGATAATGCTTTTATAAATGACTAGGTTGCATGGATTATTTTCTTTTGCAAAGGACTTTCATGGCATATACATTTATTTCTGGAAATGTAGTTTCATTAATGAAACAAGTGGTCAGTTTTCAGTTGGCGTTGACTATTAGAAGATGGTGTTTGCAAATATTCAAATTAGCCTTGGTAAATTATCCCCTTCACCCTTACTTTGTGTGTCTTGACCAAAAAATAGAATACCTTGACCATTCTCATAGGAGCAACTACATGTTTTCTCGGTAGTCTTAAGTGTGCTGAGAAACTTCTTTAGGTTCTTGGCTGTCAAGTATGTGGTAAAACATGTAGGACCTAGTTCTGGCCCATAAGCAGATGTCCTAACCCTTTATATGAAATCTATGCCCAGCTCCCTCATTACAAGCACACCGAGCTAGGGTGTTTCTTGCTGTGCACTGTAAAGGTCTCAACAGCACTCCTGTGTGTCCCTTCCTGAATTCGTTGGACTGATTAACGTGGTATTAGGCCCTCTAATCAGATTGATCATCATGGAAAAATAATCCCTTTAATGTTTACAAGCTTTCTTTAGAATTAACCATATCTGAAG